ATAAAGGTTTCAGAGGAGTGACTACTAAAAGAGCGTCCAGGCCTCCTATATTGTCAGGCGAAATTCAACTCAGAAAATGCAGGTTTAGTTGCCAATTTATGGGATTATTTTATTTTACTACAGCTGCTTTCTGTGGCTTCAATATAATACTAATGTATAGTATTTTTCAAATCAAATCTACCTTCAGTTTAACAAGCAAAGTAACATTGATGTAAATATAACAGATAAAGACATTAATCTGTTTTTGACTCTTTGTGATAGCTTATGTCATTTTACCAGTAGCTTCATAACTGAAAAAAATTTTAATTAAAAAATAAAAATCACTAAGACTCTCCTATAGAAATAATGAGTAGCTTTGAGACAGCTGAAATCTCTTCCTAGATCACTCAATTATGCAGAGAGATACTGCCTGGAAGTCTCCAGATTCAGGGCCCTCTGTCTGATACTTTAACATTGTTAATGATAATTCTTTAGTCTGTAATAGTAGGTCATTGCTATGGTTACTCTACAATGGTGCAACACTTTGCTTTCCCCTTCAGCTATTCGCTGAGACCTGGTAACCACATTTGTTGCCTAGCAACAGTTTTGTGACAGTATCACAATCTGGGAGTTACAACAATAAGGATGCTATGGCTGCAGTCGACCAGAGAGCAGAAAGCTACAGTTCTGTGCATGCAACTTAGCTGTGGGAGCTGGCCCTACTAGAGAACCCCTCTCTTTATAGGTGCCCTCACAAGGATGCTTTCTGTCCTCTTCTCTCAGATTGGCCTTATAAACTTGCATTTGGAATTAAGATCCAGTAGTGAAGTCATATCCTTGAGAAATATCTCCCAATACTACTGTACTCAAACTAAAAAATGAGGTCATTTCTCTATTTGCTTACTCATTTCGGGCAAAATTCAATGTTATTCAGTGGGAGAGAGAGATGAATGTGGTTTATCCTGGCAAATCCTAAAGTGACTGACTGGATTTTGTCAAATCTTAATATAATTCTTGGGAAAAAATTATATATATGCCTGTCTGCATCAATAGGTGCATACATTTTCAAGTTCTTTAAAATATATTTAACATTCAAATATTTATCATAATTTTCACTGATTTATTCAGATGATACTCTTAAAGAATTCTTTTTGAAGTTGAAGACATTTATATTCTCCAAATCCAAGTGAGCATCTACACATGCTTATACACATCAACTTTAAATAATATTTTATGAGTATATCTAGGAAGGGGCCAGTTTCTGGACAGGTTTATAAAATACTTGTCACTATAGTGCTTGCAACTCTAGTTTCACTTCAACAATAACTACTAATTGCACTTACAATAATAAAATACTTTAAAATCAATTGTATTTCTCTTTTTTGAAAGACTATTCTCAGATGCAAACTACAAGGCAGTTCCCAAACACAATGAGAAAAAAAAGGTGTTAATTGTCTCTTTTCCTATTCATTTCCCATGCTTCCAGGCTCATTTGGCATTTCCTCCATAGTGATCACACTTACACTTACTAGTGTTACCAAGACTATGATCAATTTGTAAGCTTTCTTAGGGAACTCTTCTCATAATTCCTCCCACCCCTTGAAAACCAATTCCATCTATGAACCTAGAGGGACCTAAGGAGTCAGTGGTCTGAAGCAATATTAACTCCTTTATTTTTTATTTTCTGGTGACAATCCTTCTGAAGGATGAACAAATTTCCCTGGTGATAAAAATCAGTACAAAGGCTTTTTAGTTTTAGCTTATGATGACCCTCTGCTTGATTAGTCCTGGGCTGAAAAGACCAAACTCCCTGAGATAACTAAGTATCTGCACCAGCTCTCAACATTTACCCAGGCAATTTAATAGTATAAATAATAAGAATGTGTGCTCTGTCAGAGGAAAGAAAATTGCTAGGAGTAAAGGTAATAAGCAAGGTAGCTTAGAAACTGAATTAGAGACCAGCATGGGGGAGGGAGACCTCTCTCTAAACTAAGGAGTGGTAATATGACTATTTTATAGAAAAATGGCTTTCTTTTCCAAATTTTTGAAAGTAGATTTTTAATAATTTTAAAATAGCATTTGGAAATTAGGTAATTAATTGCATGTCCATCTGGGACTGCATATACACATTTCAAGACCATGTTCGGAGACCATTTTCAAAAATGTGGGGCCAAAGTTCAATTAAAATATTTACAAATTAATATGAATATCTATCCACAGTGATGCTTAGAGAATGGAAACTTCTGAGAGCAGCTTTCTAGTACTTAAAATATAGCATCTTATAGGAAATCATTTCATCAGGACGGAAAAACTAGGCCATTACATTATCTATTTATAAAAAGATATAAAAGGGGAAAGTTTAGGCCAATCAAAAAAAGCAGTCATTTATTAATTAGCTACAATGATGTGTAGGTAACATGGACACTAGTCCATTTAGCACTAACCATGCTATTACGAGACGGACATGGTTTGATAGTCACGGCCTGGTCTTTCCTCTACCAAGACTTTACCATTATCAAAAACTCCTCTTTTAACAGACTGTGAACATTCTCCACTTTTCAATTCCCCATTTTCCTAATCTAGAGAGGTTCCTACAATGTAAGGAATAAAGGGGTTTCTCATATTAAATACATGTCATGTTCTCAGGGAATGATTTTTGTATCCTTTTGGATTGGAAGGCTTGGTTTTACTGGATAAGTCCCTCTGGGGCATATTCAGTTTCCTAATCTATAAAATTGATTCGGTATCAAAATAAAATGTACAGGATCTCAGTGCTTCATTACAAAAAAGTGCCTTTGCTCAGTCTCAATCAGTGGTTCTTAATAGGCATCGTAGTGGCCTCTGGGGGCATTTTGGAAATTTGTAGGTATATTTTTGGTGGTCAAGATGACTGGAAGGAGCTATTCATATTTACTGGAAGAAGGCACAGGGATGGTGGACATCCTTTAGTTTGCAGGGCAGTACAGCACGATGAAATGTTATGCATTCCACATGGTTTTCAAATGTTCTACCAGTTATTCATGTAGTTGAAAAACCTATTTATACTTAAATGAGCTTAGAATTTAGATCTGTTTAACAAATAATCACAAAGTATTTTTGGCATGATCCAACTACCATGTAAATTGAAGGGATTTTGTACTTTATGTATGTTGTTCAGAATGTCACCAAGAGTGGTTTACCACATGAGATCTTATCTCTGATGGCATCACTGCCCACAGTACTTGAGTTGCCGATAAACACACTTGCATCAGCTTGCATTTGTAACTGTTGAATTCATAAAGATTCTATGCCTAGGACCAGTATCTGACTATTATAGTATGCCTTCTCATGTAGATTTTCCTGAGCACTTTTAATATTGATATGCATATTATTTTTTATTATGTTAGTTATTTTCTTTTATTCCTTCTATATTTGAACTGGAGCATTACAATAATTTAGCAATTTTATAAGTAGGTGGGTTATGTTACCTCTAGAATTTATTTCAAGATTTATTTCAAGTAAAAGCACTGAGTAACACTTGTTATAATAGAAGTATTTAGATGATCAAGGGTCAGCTTAAATAAAAATGAATAGTTAATTCTTTTTTATTTCATTAGGGATTAATTTTCCCTAGAATCTGACCCCTATTCTAGCTTTCTCTTTTATGCTTATACAGAGTAGAAAGTGCCTTTTGTTTTTCTTAATTTTTCTTCCCAAAATACTTTTTGTTACTAATGTTATACATTGAAATAACCAAAAAGCAGGGGGTCGGGGATCTTCTAATTAAAATACTACACTGAATATTTATCTCTTATCTATCACTTGTTTTAAAAAAATGAACTATAGCAAATTTCAAAGCAGTGAAGAAAGCATAAATGGTTAAAAGAATCGGAAACTTTGAGTATGAAGGATGAGACTATAAATCATAAAAGGAAGATCAAATTGCTAAAATATGTCATTTGTTTTCCCAAAAGACTCTGTATTTAAGAAAAAGTGTCTTGTAATGGAACTAAGAAGGATGGTGTCTACATTTATGTAATAGCATTTAGAAATTAAACAATAACGGTTGGAAATAGCACTGAGAGGGGAATGTTCAAAGAATAGGATGAGAGAAGAAAACATTGCTGTATCTTCTGCCTTGTCTATTCCCTTTACTTCTTCATGTGATGACTTCAATCTAAATGTTTCTTACAAGTTTGCCTTGTCCACACTCCTCTTCACTTGATCTTAGTACTT